TCCCGGGGCTGCTGTGAGCATTGGGGCACCTTATGCTGTAATAACTGGGTTGGAGTCATAGACAGCGAGGGCGGAAGGGACCTCAGGAGGTCACCTCTAGGCCACCCCCCTGCTCCAAGCAGGACCAGCCCCAGCTACATCATCCCAGCCAGGGCTAAAAAAACTTGCACGGATGGTGGCTCCACCACCTCTCTGGGTAACATGGTCCAGGGCTTCGCCACCCTCTTAGTGAGATTTTTTTTTTCCCCCTAATATCCAACCTCGGCCTCCCTTGCTGCAACTCGAGCCCGCTGCTCCTTGTTCTGTCATCTGCCCCCACTGAAAGCAGCCCGGCTCCAAGGCCAGTTGAGTTGCTTTGGTGATTCTTTGGGCAGAGCAACCTGCTGGTGCCCGTCTCCTTTGCAGGTGCGGATGGCTGTCGGCTCACAGGGGGCTCATCCACCCTTTTTAACAGCTCTTGTTTCAAGTCCTGCTGGGTGTCCGCACATCCTCCTCACCCAGGCCGGTCACCGGTGGCCCCACCATGGAACAGGCTGTGCTGGTTTACATGGTACCAGACAGCAGAGGAAGAGAGGCCTGGCCTGACGGGAATTTCACATTATTACAGCTATTTGGACACATTGTCCCTGTCCCTCTGCTTTGCCACGCTGTTGAGAGAGCGTAAATGCTGCGCAGCGTAGCTACCGATGGAACACGCTGTAAGTGAGAATGCTGGCTGATGGGAAGTTGCTAATTCAGCAAGGGATCAAAGACAATCAGTAGGGAATTAAACAGTGCTGAAAGGAGTGGTGATTCAAAAACACCAAAGTAGCGGGGCAGTGGGGCACTGACTTCCCTTTTTTAAGTGATGGTCTGGAAAGGTGAGCATATGAAAATACACCTGCAGTTCTTTTTTATGAGAAAGTATATAGAGAATTAAAACACTTTGGCACGTATTAATGTGCTTGGCTGCTTGTTGCCCTCCCTTTTATTGTGGCCGGTGGCTGCCATGTGTATTTTCTCATGCCTGCTACTCTGGCATCAGAAATGCTTGGGATATTGGCATTTCTCTGCTTAGTCCATTGGCAGCTGAGTCAAAAACATACATTTTCAAAGTATCACCAGAAATGAACCAGGCTGCAGGCTGGGCTGAATGGAATGAATGCTATTAGAGCCCTTGATGCAGTGGAGTCTCGCTGATCTTCCTTGTGCTAATCCGGAAACCTGCTGGTTCTCGCTAAATGCTGCCTTGCCACGCTGTGTCATGAGCTTTCTGTGATGGCGAGTGTGCTAGTTCACTATCTGGTTTTCAGCATCGATTGTTTGTTTGGCTTGATAAACCCTTGTTCTTTTGAAAGCATGTAACACACTGTTCCAGTCCCCTGGCCAAGGCGCTGAAGTACTGTGAGTAGTAAATTATGTTGCTCTTGTCAAAATAAAGGGCCCACTGAAATTTGCCATGCAAAACCCTTGAATAATGTGCATAGGCAGCTCTTGTGCACTTCAGCTTCCCTGGTAGCTCCACTGATTTCAGTGGCACTAGGTACTGAAATGTGACATTCTGGGTTTATTGCTAGATGCTGAAATACACTGAAGCCCTCCTTGGACAGTGAGCACATTTAGTCTGGGGCAGAGGGAGCTTGGAATGTTTTGTGCTTTGGGAGTTTCTTTTCCCTGGATTTACAACAGTTTTGCCTGCTTCTGTTCTGCGTGGTTCTGATAAGTTAGGCAGTTCAGCATGCTTTGTTCCCCTGCTGTTTCACTTGCAGGGGAACAAATAATAGTAGAATGCAGGCAAAGGCCAAGGGCATGCCTGTGAATCATCTCAGGATGGTAGTGGAACGGAGTTGCTCAGGCAATCATATGACAGTTGGATGCTTTTTGTTTTCTTGGAAAAAATCTGTCACCCTCATTCTGTAGCAGTGTCGACATGAGGAGTGGGGGTGTTGGTTGGTTGTGATTGAAGTAGTTCTTTAAAGCTGTAGACTAGGGAAGGCTTGTGGGTGTCAGCACCTGCAGGCTCTGGGGAGGAAGCCTGAAATGAAGGCTGAAGATGGGAATGGTGAAGTATGCTTGTTCAGGTGCTGGATACTGAGGGTAGTTTTTTACTGCCCTCCTTCCCCTACTCCAGTTTTAGGGAGACTCAGCTGCATTCGGCCTAAAAGATGAGCTTTTTGTTGATGAACTAGCCCCAAGGTGACTCCCAAAGAGCTGTACCTCAGAGCTGCACTGCTTGTGCCCCTTGCACATGATATTGACTGTAGCTTGCTGCCCTGGGTGAGGTCTGGGGAGCCCTTTCCTGCCCTGCAGCATTCAGGCACAGGCTGGGGGCCACTAGACATGCCGAAGGATTCAAAGGCATCTTCTCAGCACTGTTTGTTTATCCTCCTGGCTCTGTGAGCCCCTTGGAGCTAGGTATGGAGTCTCCTGTAGCAGCATAAGCGGCGCTGTTTGCTTTACAGCAACGGGGGACAGAAACCAGCCCTGTGTAAAGGGATGAAAATCAGGAGGACTGCAGGGGTGAGATATTCATGACCTTTCTGCCCATTCAGGCTTCATATGTACTGCATATAAACTTTTTGTGAGCCAACAGCTTGGCAGCCTTTGTCAGCTCTGCTCTTCGGAGCTCAGTCTGCCAAGTGCGAAACCTCACAGAATGTGAGAGTGCGCAAGCAGAAATGAGCAGCAGGGAGTGAGTGGGTGGCGTTCCTGTTTGGGTTACCTTGTAGCCGTCTCATCAGGGGTAGAAAGAGCCAGGGTGAATGATGTTCCTGTTGGCTTCAGATGCCTGCTCCTCTCTCTTAAGGGGAATACAACACCTGAATGCAGGGCTGTTTGTGGCTGTAGGGAGGCTGGCTGGTCCAGATCCACCACAAGGTGCTTGCGGAAACCGAGCACGTGCTTTGTAATGCAGTGGCTCAGTGGCCTCTCAGGGAGCCAACCATACATACTGAAATCATGAAGGGGTGTTGGCTGTGGCTGTGTTGGTCTGAGGACATAGGCAGACAAGGTTCTTTGGGTAGATGTGATATTTTTTATTAAACCAACTAAATAGTTGGAAAAATTGTTCTTTGCAAGCTTTCGGGCACAAACACCCTTCTTCAGACATAGGGAGCGTTGCTGCTGTTAGCTTTGCCACAGCGGGTAATTTCTGAGTGCCAGAGCCTGCATTTCTCCTTGGCTCATCCCTCCCCGGGATCAGGGGGAACTGTGGGTACACAGGAATGGGGAACTGTGGGTACACAGGAATGTGGGGCTGGGCCCAGGCATTGGCTGGAACAATTACATTTCCTGGTGGAAAAACCATCTCCTGAGCCAGAAACATGTTGTTAGACCCTAGACAGGACTTCCTTTGCTGTACTCTGCTAAGGCATGCAACAGTGCCCCTGAGGAGAGGGTCTCTTCTGCTCTGTATGCTATTTTGGAGCCCCTCTGTGTCTGGCCGGGACAGAGTCAGCAGCCCTGGAACTAGGAGTGAATTTCCATAGAAGCCCTCATCAAATAACCTTTGCAGTAGGGGTGGATTGGGACTTGAAGACTGCTTCAGAGGTTGTTCCCAGTAGAAAGGGCCCAGTGGTGTGTTTGACTCTCGGTCTGACTATCCCTTTTTGCTGACAGCTGCTGCTGGATACCTTGTTCTGCTTGTAACCAGATATTGCATTTCATAAGCAAATGTTCTGGGTATGTCATGGGTAAATGTAATGTAAAGCATTCTTGCTTGCCTGTTGAGAAGTGTACACCTAATACAGCATGTGCTAACTGTAGTTCTAGGAACTCTGCCCTTGCTCTGTAAATTGTCCAGCAACTACTGCTAAGGTCAGGATTGTTTCTTCTTGATTATCCAGGGCCTGCATTTGCTTTGGAGAGACCTTGCTAGTTTAATTTCACCCCCTTGATCTGGTCACCATAATCTTTAAGGGTGAAAAGTTTCCTGTGTTCTGGAAACTCATTAGCAGATTTTCCTCGAAGCTCAGTATTGAGTTACGTCACGTCATAGCTTTGCTGTGAAATCAACACATGTGCCTGGCGTTCCAAGAGCGGCGCCTGCTCCCGCTGCCTTCCTCTCCTGCTGCCTGAGTTTGCCACAGCTGGGAGCACTTTTGCACGGGGATAAGAAGGGTTCTCTCTTACCTGATGGGCTGGATGGAGTGTGTCACTGAGCTGGCAGTCTCTCTCTCTCTCCGTGGAGGGCTTTCTTTGATACTTTTCCATCCCCAGTCGCCTGTGTCAGGAACAGGCTGAATAGTTCTTCCAGACCTCTCTGCAGGGAGCCCCCTCTGCCCTCACCACAGGGTTCGCTTGCTGCCCGTGGAAGATGGGGTTTCATTCCATTTGAGTGAAGCAGCTGCAGCAGGAGTGTGTGATCTAACTCGCCACTAATATAAATACAGATAAAGCTTGGCTGTCTGCTCTTTACTGCTTATTAGCCATATAACCCTGTCAAATATAAACCAAGTGTTTTGGGCTTGGCAGCCACAAAAATACTTCCTGTATGCAGAGCCTATGTTCTAGTAACATTCATGATCTGACATGGAGCTGAAAGCAGCTCTCACTCCCTAATCAGAGTCCCTGATTAACCTGCTGTCCTCGGTTAGGCCTCGGCATTGTAGGGAGCCACAGAGGAGGGCATGCGAGTTAATGATGCCACAGCCACCAGTGAAGGAGTGAAGCTGAGAGCAACAGTTTGACTCTTTTAATTGAGTGGCTTTCCCTAATTTTGCTGGATTCCAGACCCAGTTTGTGTAAATTTTGTAGTCAGCTGCTGGGGTAGACCCTGGGCAGATTTGGGGGAGACCTAACTTGTCTGCTCAGCTCTGCCACTGGCTTTATGGGGGGGATCTTGACTGATCTTGATTTTTCTCACTTGTAAAGCAACACCAGTGATATTTGCTTTTTTTCCCTTGCTGGATAACTTTAGCCATGGGCATTCTGAGTGTTGGGTGGGATCTAGACAGACAGACATTTCTTTACTTGCCATCTCCTGGACATGCTGTGCCAGTGATGCAGGGAACATAAGCATCTCTTTGCACTTGGGAATGCTGACAGCTGGCACTGCTTCATCTTTCCTTTTAGGGACAAGAATCATTTACGACCGTAAATTCTTGATGGAGTGCCGTAATTCCCCAGTTGCCAAGACACCACCATGTGACCTTCCAGACATTCCAGGTGTGACAAGTCCTAACGTGGAAGAATTGAAGGTAGAAAACAATCGTGTGCACAACTACGAGGAGAAAGTGGGTGCAGGTGAGCGGTGTCTGGTAGCCACATAAACTAGAAGATAAGCAAGAGCAGAGAAGTGAGGTGGGTGGACAACTGGCTTAGAGGCCGCACCCGGATAGTGGTGATCACAAGGATGGCCTCATCTGGAGGGCTGTTTCCAGTGGTGTCCTCCATGGATCGGTGCTTGGACCCATGCTGTTCAATATATTCATTAACGACTTAGGTGATGGGGTGGAAAGCGCAATGATTAAGTTCGCGGGCGACAACAAGCTGTGGGGAAATGCAGGCACACCAGAGGATAGGGCAAAGATCCAGGATGACTTTGACAGGCTGGATTTATGGGTGGAACAAAATTGGATGAAGTTTAACGGGGAGAAATGTTGGAGGTGTTCAAGATGAGGCTGGACAGGCATCTTGTCAAGCTCATCTGAACCCAGTAACTTCCTTCCCATGGCAGGGGACCGGACTTGATGATCTTACAGGTCCCTTCTGGTTTTATGATTATATGGGCTAAAGCTAGTGAATTCAGAGAAGTGAGAGAAATTAGTGCTTTGAACTGACTGGATACAGGCAAAACCAGGATGGCACTGGAGTTTCCCAGTTGTTTGCCAAGTATGATTCATATCTGCCACACAGTTTGTTCCATAGTTGCTGAGCTCAGGTGGAATTGCAGTTAGGAGCTGAAAGGGGCTTGAGTTTGTGGCTTGTTCATTTTCTGGCCTCAGCATTGAGATGTGGAACATCCAGGGCTAAGGTCTGCCAGTGGCACTGCCAGGATTTGTGGTGTCTGCTGAAATAAGACTGAGTTTGCCCAACTGGGTTCATACCAGACATCGAGCCATCAGCTTTCTGACCATAAGGACTTGTGAACTGAGTTCTTGTAGCTGGTATTTCGTGCGCACAATCCAGCTTCCTCTTCCATCACTCTTGGGTTCTGTTGTGCTGCCTGTTGTAAAAGCTTGTGGTTGCAAGTCAGCTGGGCACAAAGCAAACGAGGCGGCAGCCTGCAGTTACAGGGTGATGGCCAGGGTTATCTTTCTAACTGCATTACAGAGTGAAAATGAATCTTGCACATGGATTTAAAAATCCTTTGTTGTGTGAGGTCTTCAGCAAACAGTTTGAAACTGCTGGCTTCCATTCGTTTATTTATTTTTATTTTTTTACTAAGCAAAATCTTTTACCAAGGGACAGTATTACTTCATGGTTTTAGTACGTGCTGATGTGATGTTTTCAGTTTAACAGTTGACTAAATTCCTTGTGTCGGATTGCAGTGTCAAATGCCTGCTGACTGCCAACTTGACTGACCTTTTCTTCCCTTGCCCCTATCCTCAGCAATAGGTCATCTGAGCAGTGGGATCATTGCTTACGTTGGCCTTGGATCAATTGCACTGGCTCCAAAAGCAGTCATGCACTCAGTAGCTGCACTGCACCATGACAACTGGAAACAGCACATGCTTTCTCTGAGAACAAAAATCTCTACCAGAGGCTAAATGTGCCAGCCTTTTTTTCTCTCCCTTTTTGTCTAAGAAAGGGGTGCCAAGTAAGTGGCTGAATTTGCCTGTCTGATCTGCAAGGTATAGCTCATTTCTGCTCTATTCTTGCTAAGTGAATACAGATCACCTGTATTCTTTGCTCTGACCTATTCTGGTGATGTACAGGGAGGTGAATCTTTTTCCCTTAGGGACACAGCAAGCAGCCTTCTCTCACCATGTGACTCTGATCTCAGATTCAATCCTTGAACACGGCAAACTTTGTTTTTCTTTTTTTTTTTTAATTTGAAACATCTGTGCTTCTGCCGGGCTACCTCTCTGAGAATCCCTTCAGTGTGATGCTTGGCACTTAACAGGATCTCAGCGTTCACTCATATTTTCCTGTTGTTCCTAACAGGTGAGGAAGCTCAGTTTGACATGGACATCTAACGCACGTGCCCTGCGAATGTTACTGGTGAAGAACAAAACCTCAAAGGGAGGTCCCTTCCAGCGAGGCTGTTAGAGTAGCCCACGCTTTGAGTGCTTTCCCGTTCCTTAGGAAGGGCATCCACTTCTGCAGAGAACAGAATACCCTCTGCTACGAGGACTGGAAGTCTCAGCTGACCTATCTGGGTGTGAACCCCTGAGCACAGCCCCTGCTGTGATGGGCAGCAGCATGCGAGAGGAGAGAAACTCTCCAGGATTGCTTTTTGTTTGTTTGTTTCAAATTTCTATGCCTTTGTTAATCAGAGTGTGGATACTGTAAAAGTCACAGCAATGCAATACATGGGAGAAATAAAATCCTATGAAGTCTCCAGGTGTGGGGATTACTGCAATCATGTGGGTGTTTGTTCTTCACTGATGGCAGCAAGAAAGCTGCTGCTGGTTTTTGTGCCAAAAGGACCGAGAAGGGCAGTCCCTCAAACATGCTTGAGGCTGAGTATAAGTGCCCGAAAGAGACACAGGTCTGTGTTTGCAGGATCCTTTTGTAGCACTGTATTGAAGTGGGGTCACCCTTAGCCTCTTTCAGTGGTGCCAAATATTCACACTATAATGTCTAGAAAAATGGCAGCCCTTTGCTTTCACTTCTTTGACTAAAGAATAGCAACAGAGCTGTTCTTCTGTTGCAAAGAACTCCAAAAGTCTGTAACAGGTCAGAATGGCTTTGATGCTATGGATTCCTTTTTTGGAAAACTCTGGGTTTATCTTGTGAATCATGTGGAGGTGTTTGTGCACACACAAGTGCTAATATTGCATGGCATCCTGCAGCAGCCTGGAGAATTCCAGGAGTCTCAAGGAAATTGCACATGCGGGAATCCCTCTGATCCAGTTAGTTTTCAAAGGAGCTGAAGAAGTAAGGCTTGGCTCAGCTCACCTTCCTACTTGGGGCCAGCCTCCCTTCCTCCTCTCCATTAGAAAGGAGCACCTCACCTAGCCTCTCCACTCATGATAATGCATTTACATCTGCGACTCTGTTGCAGTCTCCCTCTGCAATTCTCACTCAGTCAAACCACCAAACCTTGGAGGCAGTGAGTGATTGCCCAGCCATGGTTCTCTCTTAACTGTCTTTTCTCTACCCTTCAGTAAGATCCCTGTTTGGAGTTTTTCCCAGGAGATCAGTTTGGTGCAGGTTACTAGGCCTAATGCTGCACCTCTCTGCTGGGAGAGTTCCTGACTGTAGCTTTGCTAGCATCGGGACAGTGGATTGAGGTCAGTGCTTGGTATCAAGCTACAGAAGGCACCGTAGGCTGGACCTGATGATCTTGCAAGGTCCCTTCCAGCCCTGATGTCTGTGAAATCTGTGATGCCCATGTGTGTTGTCTTGAGCTTTTGGTAGGCCCTCTCCTTTAAGAGGGTAGGGAATGATGGGAAATACCAGCTTTCACCTGAAGTCTCATTTTTAGACTGGTAGTGGGGGCAGTGTGTGGGGTTGACTAAGTAGGAAGCTTCACAAGGCATCTGAGGGTCAGAGTGAAATGCCCTGAAATTGGGAAAAGAGCAATTTAGTCTTTGAAAACCCCTCCTTTTCCCAGAACAAGTTTGCAACTTGTGCAAAGCTTGTTGGCTGCTTGCTCTGATATGTAGACCCATTAAAATTGCAAACAATTAGGTTAGCAGCTTATCCTGCTATTGATGCCTGGCAAGTTGATTGGAGTGAGGGCATTACAAAGCATGACATTGGATTGAAAGTGGGACTTTCCAGAAGTTAGCCTGTGGGGAAGAAGGTAGATGGTATCTTATTTGTTTTTGTTATTTAAGGGTCGGCTAATTAAGTCCAAGGACCACAGTTACATTAAATTACAATCTGCCACCCCTTCAATAAGGAAGGACAAAGGAAAGTAAGTGAGACGAATAAAACACTATCTTAAATGCAGTTTTAAAGGAAACACTTTGTTCCTGTTAGATCTTATTTGTTGCTTTGAGCTGTCATTGATCCCCACCTTGTAATTTAAGCGTAGCACAATGCACATGGCTTTTCTCTAATCAGTTTACTATCATTAATGGAAGGAACACAGTGAAGTGGCTTACAGCTGGAACTCCCTGCCTTCCCTTGCTGAATAAGTATCTCAATGTGCAAATGACAATTGCCTATCTTTCCTTTGTTCGTTATCAGCACGTGAACTGTACTGCAGTTGGTCTTTTTGACATGCTCTGAAAGGAGCACAGCCTGGAGAAGGGTGGGACAGCAGCTCTAGGTTCATTCTTTCTGCATCTCCTGTAGTAAGTTAGTTTTTTCTGCAGCAATATCTTTTAGGCCACTTAACGAGCTTGGCACAGCTCTGAACCCCTGCTGAGTTAGGACTTAACCTAGGGTCTCATAATTAAGGAGCTTTCAGAGGAAACAAGAAAGGGTTCACAGATTACAGGGACTATGTTAGCTCTAAGCCCCCACACCCACATGCAAGCCGGGTTCTGCATTTCCTCCTTGTGTTTTACCTTGCAGACATGGTCACACACTTTTTTGTCATGGTTTAGCTAGGTCACTTATCAGTGAGATAGAGAATGCATTAATGTTAGCCTTAGCACGGATGCAACTTTCTTTTCATGACCAATATAGCATCCCCCTTCCCCAACACTATATACTGGCATATAGGGGCACACAGCAGTTGTACTGCTGGCAAAGGCATATGTTCATGTTTTTAAAATGGGTTTTGAAAATAAGATGCTGGCAGAAAGATGACAAATGTGCTGCCCATGGAAGAACTGAAAGGTTTGGCGTAGACTTCAAGGTGAGCTCATTCAAGGTAGATATTTCCCTTTAGCATGTAATCTGTGGGGATATTTATCCAGCTTCACTTGATAGTGTGGAACATTGTTCTTAAATTTTCCAGTGAACGTAATGTACCTGAGTTGACAAAAGCAGGCTTATTTAACTAAACTAAACTCAGAGGCAGGTCAGAGGGTGCATTTAATCTCTAAAAGGGGGCAGTAGGTCTTGTAAAGCAAGTTAGGAATGTGAGCAATCTGTAAGGTGTTCTTCATAGTAGGTTGGCTGTGGTAGGAAAAAGTATTACTCCCAGCATGGAGTATACTACAGTATACTACTCCCAGCATCTGAAGAAGTAAAAAAATAAATGGATATATAGCACATACTTCTAAATATAGTTATGTATCTACTGCAGTTCTAGTGATACCTGTTTATTGGGGTCTGAATAGATATGCAGGATGCCCTAGAAGTGTAGGCTGAAGATGTTCAAAAGGGGCTAGTAATTCCAGGAGCCTGGTTTAGCTGGGTTAAAGGGGATCTGAATTTTGGAAAGCGGTGAGCAGTTTCCCTCTGGTAGTGAGGTCTGTCAAAGGTTTTCAGGCTGGGCACTCAAAGTCATGAGTCACTTGGGACAGTTTGGATCATGCCAAGGAGGCCCTCTCTGTGTCATCACAAGGCCTTATAATGGATGAGGCAGACAGCTGGTTTATCAAAGCCAGTGTTGCCACCCAGAGGCAAGTCTGAGAAAGGAAAAGCATTGCTTTGAAGTATCTAGCCGAGTGTGAAGTGCTGAATGTGAGGGTCATCATTCCTTCCCGAGCCTTGGTGCACTCGGTCCTGAAGGCTAGCACTGAAGTATCCAGAGCTTGTGCCTTGCAAGCTCTGAAGATTTTGGTGACGTGCAGAACTTACACAAAATGACAGCCCATCACGGAGTAGTTAAGTTTCATGTGATCCTATTGTTCCTGTTTCTCACTTAGCTCTCGAGCTGGCAGGTAGCTTGGCAACGGCACCTGTTCTTTGAACTTCGTGCTATTTCAAAATCCAAATGCAATTGTTTCCTTTAGGCAGGCAAGGTTCTTTGGGTAGATGCAGCATCTTTTATTAGACCAGCTGAGTAGTTGGAAAAAAGTTCTTTGCAAGTGTTCAGGCGTAATCACCTTCTTTAGGCATAGGGAGTCTCTGCTGTACTGAGACTCCAAGGAATGAGAGAAGCTAAAAGTGTGGCAGGATGTTGGCGAGACTGTTTCCTTTAATCACTTGGCTGTTTGCCAGGCAACTCGGTACAAAACCTGACAACACTCCTACAGGGTTGTAAGCAGTTGTGTCCCTAGTTTGCACCTGAAGCAGCAGAGGCCCAGACCTGGCCCAAACATAATGCTGCCAGGTAATGGAGGTCACAGAAGAGGGCTGTGTTCAGCTGTGCTGCCTCATGGATGTGGTCACGTGCCTTATCAGAGTTCTGCTTCCCATTTCTTTTCTCTAATGATAAGATCCCCCTGCATCCATTACGGGCCATCCTTTTCCCCTGTTGGATTATGCCAGAGCACTTGCATTGCTTTATTCATAGCCATCGGAGGCAAGCAAAGAGCTGCTCAACACTTCCTTGATGGGCTCCAGCTTACTTAGGTCTGTTACCGGCCTGTGAACTTAGTGCTAAAAAACTAGAAAGAAGGGGACTTGGGCTTAGATGCTAGGCTAGTGCAAAGGTTGTCCCCATTATTAGCGCCCACAGAAGTGCCAGGTCATTAGTGGAAACGTTGACTGGTTTGGGATAGCAAAGCTAGGACTGTTTGGCATAATGGCTGGACTGGCTGTCTCTCAGGTTCAGCTTTGGGGTTCCTACCTCTTTGTCACTTTGCCTCATCTTAGAAACTCCATTGCCAGGTATTTTGTGCTATTAAAACACTCACCTTCTTTTCTTGATGTCTGTATTCCTGGTTCTCCCCCCCCGCCTGCCCCAGTTCTTAGCCTGCATATCTCTTTCCTTACGTAGGTATTTAATGTGTTATTTTTGCATTTGTTTTGTTGCAGGATTGATGATCCCTGGGCAGCTCTGGTTTGCTGGAGCCACTAGGGAACGCAGATCCTGGGGATGTTTGGTGATGGCCAGGCCACTTGTTAGTCCTCAGCTGCTCACACTAGATTGTAGCAGCAGGGCTGTTCCTTAGTGGTGGATGCCTTGCTGAATTATAGGTTCAAGTGTGAGCTGTGCTGCTTTTGTTATGAAAAGGATGCTCTTAAGTGCTTGCAGCTCAATGTAGAGTTGCTCAGGAATGCTGCTGCTGCAGGTTTCTTCCTTTCTTCATCCACACTCCTTCAGAACAAGCAGGATCCCCTGCAGGGATCTCTGCCAGGTAAAGCAGATGTACTTTCTGAGTAAGATTCCTAAGCAGAGAGGTCCTGGAGGGTCTCCTTTGGAGCTAGGAGGGTAGTTTCATTCCCTGTGTGTGACTCATTTTGACCTGGCTCCCAAGATGTGTTGTAGGACCATACAGTGAATTAATGAACCTTCATTAAAGGTTTGAGGAAGCTGAAGCACCTACAGTGTCATTGCAGCTTAGTGCCACGATCCAGACATCTGGAAATACATGATGGCTCAGAAAGGTGGTCCGTATCCAATATAAT